CAAATTTACTTTTGTTGCACCAAGGTTCTACTTTGGGACTTGTATGTTCAATATAGTTTTCAAAATTTCGAAACTAAACCAAAACCAAATACTTTAACATTTAAAGTAGTCATTTAGAATCTACTTGTTTTTGGAAAACAAACACAACTTGTCAACTTAGAAATAATACAAAATGAGAAGTGATACTGCACAGAGGTGTACTCACCTATGTTGTATGTAACCTGCTAGATTGTGTAGACGTATTTACATTTTAGGAAGCAAGTACTTTACACTAATTTACCGACTTAATCTACACAGTTTGAGAGTACAGTGATGATTGTTGGATACTACATAGTGTTTTGTTTTTAACTTTCCCTATATAATAAGTAGGTAAATGATTAACTTAAAGCCTCTCCCTGTTTAAGATGGCTTGACTTCGTAACAAACCATTTGCCTGATGAAGGTTTTGCACCGAAATGCGATAAGTAAATGCATTTTTGCTAGTTAGACCCAGTGTGGGAGTCTGCTTTTTAATACGCTCTGTCTGTCTTTTTGATATACTCGTCTCTCTCCAATGCACCTGTCTCATGAAATAGATGTGCGAAGACTTCCATTGTCTAAAGCCAATAGTCTTTCCATAAATTTTCCGCTGATTAAATTTCGCCAGGGTTTCTCTTTCTTCACTAAAGCTACTGTAGCTCTGCTCCTGCTAACAACCATGTGCTAATGTAAGCTCATGGGGCTAACACATCTCTGTTACTGATTTTTCTTTTTTAGGCCATTTTCTACTGGAAGTTTATGTCTTGTTTGTCTTTGTCTGGCTTGTTACAGACTTTTCTTCAATAATTGCAGGGTAAACCAATTCACACAAGTCATGATTACAATATGTCATCAGATGAGTATAAGTTTATCAGCTCAAAGCGTGCCATGTGACTGACCAGTGGCATTAGTTGGACACTTGTTGTAGACAGTTTCTCCAGCCGAGGCTCTCTTCCACGACATGGTGAGGAGGTGCTCGTCTTTGCATATCTCATGAGGTGCTGCGGAAGTAGGTGAGAAACACTTAGAAAAAGTGAAATGAAGCACAGCTCTAGCAGGCGAGCTGAAAAAGAAAAAAATCGCGGCGCACACATACATACACCGCCAGGGAGAAAAGAAAAAAAAAAAGAGAGACAGAAAAGCACAAAAAACAAGATTCAAATCAATGTTCTCCTGCAGCTCCCAATCTTATTCCCTTGTACATTTCTCAGTGCTCTCTGTCAGTGTCATTGCCTCAATACAGTATCTCATTCCCTCTTCATCTTACCCCCTCTTTTTATTCATCTGTTTTCCTCTCTCTCTCTCTTTCATAACCCTGATGAAAAAAACGGGGTAGAGCGCTCTGAAGATATTCCGAGGGGGCAGATGAGTGTTGGCAGAGGCAGATGCAGCGAGATGAAGAGGGACGGAGAGTGAAGAGCAAAGGGAGAGAGAGAGAGAGAGAGAGAGAGAGAGAGACAGAAAGAGAGGAACTGTGATACGATGTTCCTGCGCAATGCCAACGGACAAGATCCTTGTCTTCTGTAATAGCGGCTTGAGAGCTCCCGAAAACAAAGAGGTCATGGTGGAGGCTGCACTCAAAGGTTTATCATTTGTTGCCTGTCAGGGCTCAAAGCGAGCACGTACACATGGGGCACTGGAAATACACTTGCATATTCACACACACACACACACACACACACACATAGCTTCAGTCAAGAGGCATACTTATTAAAGCAGTGTTTCCTGCAGTGGCTGACACTCTGAAAAATAGCACCAAGCAGACCATTGAACACCCCGCACTCTACCGGGGGAGAGAAACATACAAAGAAATAAAGCAAGCGAGAGAAAGCAAGGGAGATTGGTGTGCTACAAAAAAAAAGAGTTGAAATATAAGGAGAAATGGAGCAACTCACAGGTTAACAGGGAGGGGGAAAAAAAAAAAAAAAAAAAAAAAGCACCACAAGGCAAAGGACGTGCAAAATCAATGAAGAGGTAAAGATGGATGGGTATGTGAATTGACAGGAAGACAGACAAGAGACAGATAAAGATGAGAAGAGCGCGGTTCTGAAATTGCAATGGAAGCCTTTGGCTGTGGTGTGAACTGCAGGGAATCGCTTCCATTCTGCCAGATAAATACCGTGCATGTGCAGAGTAGGGCGCACATGCACGCACGTTTCCTCAAACGCCAAGCTCACGACAAGAGGAAACGTATGCACAGAAACGGGGGAAAAAAAAAAAAAAAAACAAAGACGTCAAAGGCAAAAGCTGCTCGCACTGGCCTTTTAAGTATGAATAATATATATAGTATATACAGTACAGCACATGAATACTGAAGTTCTTTATCTATATTTCATTTCTCTGATTCTGTAAAAACCACACACACACTGGAATCACTGACCGGGACACTTCTTCTCATTACAGGTCCGGACCTCCTCTCCAGAGCCGTCGCAGGGGTAGCCCTGGGCCCCGGTGCCCTCGCACATCCTGAACCGTCGCTGCCATCCGGAGTCACACGTCTTGCTGCAGAGACTCCAGTGGTTCCAGCTGCCCCAGTTACCTCCACCTAGTGCAGGAAGGAAGTGGACATAAGGGAGGGGGGTGGAGGGAAAAAAAAAATGAGAGTTGTTCATAAATAGCAAACTACAGCTGTTTTTTTTTTTCATGTAGAACCTAACATAAGTCAACATGAGGCCATCCTTGCGCCTCGGCTCATTAAAACACACCAGTATTTTTTGTCCTGCAGGGCCCCCCTTGAAGCCAAATTGGGTCTCAACCCAGAAATTACTCACATGTGGGAAACAAGCACGCCTTTAGATAATGCATCATCTATGTTTGCATAATGCCATATGAGAGCATCTGAGTGTGAACACTGAGCATTCGTTTGTACGCCTTACCGCTGCATGAAGGGTTGGTGCATTCTCTGCTCTCCTGATGCGCGCCTTTACATTCAGCCCAGCCGTGCACCGACGCACTGCAGCGCCTCTGCCTCTGCTGGCTTCCCGTGTTACAAGTCACGCTGCACCTCGACCACGGCCCCCACTCCAACCACTGGCCCTCCACTGGACGGTGATGGAGGTAGATAAAGAGCAGACGGTGGGATGGAGATGGGAGATTTTACGAGACAAGGAGAGGGGTAACAGGATAAATTGATGCAGAGTTTTGAAGGAAAGGAAATGTAAGCGAAGGTGCAGAGGGAGGAAAGAGACAAGGCGGAGAAAGTGAGTAGGCTCCAGAAAAGAAAACTGAATATACAATGAGTTAAAACGGAGAACAAATAAATTACACAGGCTATTTGGTTTTCCATAAATAGCAACAAACAAACATAACACACTTCACGGGTCTACGGACATCTTAAATATTTCAATCTGTTATGAAATAGCTGATTACAATTCCTTTCAAGCTTCAAGTTTTAAGGAGTTCACGCAGGGTACATTCAGCTGGAAATTCATTCACGGCGTCGGTGGGAAAAGGCGCCGCATTTCAACTCTGTAGGCTGGTGTTTGTGCAGAAAGAGATAAAAAAATAAATAAATAAAAAAGATGTAAATAATAATAATTTAAATACAATGCAGCGCCGCCTGTCAGACGACGCATGAATACCAAACAGCTTAACCAAAAGCCTGGTGACATGCACCGGTGTAATCAAAGCAACCGCTGTCCCCTTTAATAAGCGGGAGGAATGGGGAGTGTTACTGGAGTAATGGAGCTGTCGGATAAAATGTCCAAGATGGTGATAAATATCAAAAATAAAAAAACAGATATTACATTTTTTCCCCCCCTTTTTTAAAAAATCATCTTTAAAGCTTGCAATAGTTCAGACGTTTTTTTTGAAGGTGTGTTTCACAGAAGAGCATAGACTGTATAAGAGATGGACGTAGCAAAATGAAGCCAACCAGGAAGTGTCAAAAACCTGCAATATCACTACGTCCGCTAGTCCTGGCTCCAAAAAGCCCTGGCTCCCATAGAGATGAATTGGAAAAAAAGTGATCACAGATCATGAAATACTGCATTCCTCCAGGTCAGGAATTTTTTCTTGTTAGTTTTCATGGTCAAATCCAGAGATCAGGTGGCCAATCTGAAAATAAATCAAAACTGAATTTCTAAAAAATCGTCAACATTTTGCGGGGCAAGAGGCGTGGCATGCTTGATTGACAGTCGGCAGCGACCATACAGACAAAGCGAGCAGAAGGCGGTAAATGTGGGCGGGCAGAGAGGGCCCGCCTCTCAATCCGTCTGACCAATCGTTGCTCCTATGGCTCCGCCCCCCCTCTGACGATTTTTGGCTCCAAAAATCCAAGATGTCAACCAGGAAGTAGCAAAACCCTGGCTTCATTTGCTCAGTGCAGAAACCAACAGGTGACGTCACGGAAGCTACGTCCATCTTTTATACAGTCTATGCAGAAGAGACACAATGTTGGGATGTGTAAAAACATCTGTACCATGATGTCAGCGGAGACTTATTTAAGTGTTCTTAGACGCCTTAGGAGCAAAAACCTCATACATGATCTGATTACTGACCATTTATTTCAGAATAATGCCTAAACTTTACCTCCAGCAGTTGCTAAAACCTTGCAGGAAAAAAAAAAACAACTTTTAAAACCACCCAAATCACACTCTTTGACATCTTGGACGTGCTCTGCTGTTGGTCACCAAATGATGTAAACTAGTGTATTACGACTCTCTAACCGTACAACTGAAATGAAATGGCTTCAAGGGATATTATCTATTTAGCAGTAGCATGAAAGAATCATTTTGTAATTGGGTTTTCATTGTAAAACTGTCACATCAATTCTGTTTGGTCTACACAGCAATTAATCGCGCTGAATAGTCAATTGTTATTTTGAAATAAATAGTTTTGTTTTGCTTCTACTGTCACACATTCCAAGAGGTAATAATTTGAACTGAGTAATAATATAATGCCTCCTTCTGTTGGCAGCAGTGTCACTTACGTCGGAGAAGAAGAAAAAAAAAAAAGTAATAAAAAAAAAAAATACTCGTGTGTTGCCTCCAGCTGGAATTATTGAGGGACTTGAGCTATGCTTTGACTTTTGCACAAATTTGAATTCTGAACAATGTGTAATGAATTAACAGCTGCCTCCCGAAATGGGCTTAAATGTTCAAGCCACATTAATTGATTTTTTTTTTCTTTCTTTCTTTCTTTTTAGCCATTTCTGGGCACTTAAACAAGCTGCAAACACAACATTGGCAGATTATCACCTTAGAAGAAGAATAAGGGGGGGACATGCTATCAAACAATGAGCTGTTTACACATCCAGCAGACTGACAGTCACATTAGCTTTCATTTGGAGTTTCCTGACTACGTAGCAATTCCAAGTCGAACATTCGCTTCCCCTTTAAGCTCTGTTTTGTTCCCCACGGATTGCAAATAGAAAATACGGCATTCAGCTCTTCAGCAGCTGCATTCTACGTCGTTTAAGGCTGCCTTTTTGGGAACGGGTTTGTGAAAGCTTGAAAATGCCGTCGGATAACAAGGTTGAAGCAAACTGAAGCACAACAGTGAAATAAAGAAGTGAAAGCAAAGCAAAGAGCTAAAAGACAATAAAACACCTCATAAAGAAGAGCGAGAATCCTCTGTGGGTTTATCATAACAAGCGACACATACATTTGATAGGATGTGAGTAGAAAAGTAGAGAACACTGCAGCTTTAAGAGTGATTATAAGTGATATTATTGACACTTAATATTTTTTACAAGTCAAGCTAAACTAATGTGGCAGAACTTATTTTGTGACTAATCTATGCGGAAAATAAAAAAAACAAAATCGCTTTATAAACGACTCTACATGTGGAATGACTTAAGCTTAATCAATGCTAATGCAACTTTATGAAAGGCTACTTAAAAGCTCTCTTTAACCTCTGTAGTGGAAAAGTAAATCTCCAAACATTTGCACAGCATGCGTCTACAATGTCAGCAAGACAAGCATTTCAACCTTCTCTTGTTCTGGCTCAGAATGATATATCGCAGCGCAAATTCAACACACAGGGGCTTTAAGTAGCAGAGGGGGAAAAAAAGTGAAGCACAGTGCTGTAAATGTATTTGTCTGGTTCTCCCAAGTGTAAAGGCATTGCCAGCTCTCCTTGGTAATGTGGTCAATCACAGCGTGTGTGTGTGTGACTTGTACGCCGCGTCGAGGAGACGGTATGTACAGAACGACTCGCAGGTTTGAACAGAAGTGTGAATGCGAAACTTCCCAGGGGTAATCCTGATGAATAGAAATCTAAAATAAGATTTAATTAGAGACGTTTTTCAGACTCGCTTCTTAAACACATGCGCAATCACACGCAGGAAAAATGGAGCCGATACATGAGTGGGTCGCGCGTTTATAGATGTAATGCAATACAAAATGAGTTTTGAGCACTAGCTGAGAACTGCATTACTTCTGGTCAAGCTATCGCACATATCTGGAAAGACAGTACCCAGCAGGGTTAGCAGAAGTGCCTCGTCAACACACAAAAACACAAACAGCATATTTACAGTGATGCTAACAAAGATGGGATGAAGCGTGGCAGCTCTCTGGTAGGAAGCTATTCACTTGCCAAAGCCACAGACTACTAGTTTGCATGTGTTGAAGACGGAGCCATTAATCCCCGAGTATGTTTGACTGTCAAGTATTTGTATTGTGAGAAAAAAAAAAAAGCCGTCAAGGTGTCACACTGTGTTTTTTTTTCTTTTTTTCTTAGTATCTCAAAAAGGAGATGATGATGATGATGATCAAATTAATTATTCATGTCAGGCAGTTTTTACTCTTACCCTCTTGGTTGTCTTTATTTAATGCAACAGCTGTCGCAGTAACATTTGCAGCTCGGCCCACATGTGCACGCGTTTGTTTGATGTGTAAGCTTAGCATGTGTCTACATAATAAATAAGCCGCTGTGACGAAAGGTAAGAAATTAGAGTAAAAGTGTCGAATCAGAATGAATTCAAAACGACTTTGGTGCGATATATTTTAGCATAAACAGTACAGGGCACGCTGCAAGTAATAGCATAAGGTTTATATATGCAGTGAGATCAAATTATTGAGACAAATACACAAGCACACACATCCACACAAACACATCTAGACAAGATCCATCAAAGCTTTATTCTCCATGCATGGTCGTTTGTGCCAAAAGGCCTATGCTGGTATTCATCATTTCAAAGGACCATTGCCTTTGAACTCCCAAACGCAGGCTGAATCTGTTGTGATAGATTCACACACACACACACACATACATAGATTTCCTTAAGGCCCTGGGAGGAAGAGCCTACCCTATTCTCGCAAACCCTCTATTTCCATCACTGTTCCCAAAACAGCATGGCAAAACATCCCGGAGGCCATACTTTAGATTACAATGTCTCCCTATTCGTCCCTTTTTTTTTTTTTTTTTCTAGACACAACTTTGCAGTCTCTTTGTCGGGCAACTGGGACAGTTTTTGTTTTATTCAAATATTAACCTTATAAAACCTCAGCTTTGGAAAACATGAAAACAATAGGCAAAATAGTAGTATATATATATATTGGTCAGTAGGGAGAGTGAAGGAACATAAAGCTCAGACGGCTCCAGCAGCGTCGACTTAAAGGTGTGTGTTTTGGCCATCCTGGGGAAAAATGCTACACAATTCTTTGTCTTAGCAGCGTTAAATAAAAAGCACTTACCCTGTGATAATTGCTCAGGCTGTGAGTGATTACACACTAAGCAAACACGCTCTCACTTGGACTGAAATCGATTCGGGGAAAAAAAAAATAATAGGAGGTTATTATTCTGAGAGCAGCCACCATTTTTGTCATAAACTGTCTTATGTTTTAATGCCTGTGCGTCCATTAATGCCTTTATTCCGATGCGGAATCCATTTATAGCCTGACAACACAGAAAGCCAGAGCAAATTAAATCACTGAAATGAATATTCTTTTCTAATGTCAGTGCTTTCAAAGTAAGTGTTTTGTTTTTTTGTTGTTTCTTTTTTTTTTAAAGGGACCCTTGAAATACTAAATTAAAAGTGCACAGAGACAATGCTTATCCCTGAAGTACACTTTAAGTCTTAAAAAGTCAGAGAACTGTGCCTGATAATCGGTACATGCTAGTATTTACATCTCTATATCTAGAAAGCTGCAGCGCTTGCTGTTCAAATCTTGTCCCACTGTTTCTTCAGAGGCGGCTGCATTACGACTTTATTTCAATCACGGGTGAGTCCTATTCCACTTCAGTGGCGGCCCTGATAAAGATGTTTCAGCTGGACAGCCTGAGTCAGATTGGAATAAAGTCCTGAGGTACCCTCGACAGCAGGATTAGATGGGGCTGCACCAGTGACTTATTGCTGTTCTTGACAAGGTATAGGCCTAATAGGTAGTCTCAGAGACAATAACTGAAGAGCTGCACTGCAGAACTGCTCAGCAATCTAAAGCAAGCCAACCATGGAAGAAGCATATAAGTCCAACCTATGGGCTTTTCTGGGCTACGGGTCTACAGGTGAGTGAGAGTTTGAAAAGTGGGCATGAAACCCATGGCTGACCACAGATGAAGATGGAGCTGAAAAACTCGTGAGGATGCAGGAGCTAAAGCAGTAAAAAAATGAAAAAAGGCAGGAAAGATGGCTGTTAGACTGCCTTCATACAGTGTCTGCAGAGTGGGAAGAAGAAAAGACAGAATTTCCAGTTTTCTGACAAGGAAAGTACAAATAAAATGCCTGGTCTTATTGTCAGATCAATAGAAATTAAACCAAATGTTGCTTTTTGTTGTGTTAAATGTGATGAATTTGTCGTAGTTTGTTAACAAAAGAGCGCAGATACAAAAGACATAATATACTTCCCTTGTTCATCATCACCGCAGTGAAGGAAGCTGCAAAATATCTACAAAAAAACAATGTTGTTTTCAAAAGATTATTATTCGATACAACTAAATTGTAAGAGATAATGCATTTTTGGACCAGATTATGGTTTCCATCAACATAATGAGGACACATTGTGAAATAATGTCTTTGGCAAGTGGCAAACACATTAATTCAGAATGTGTCAGTAATATACTAACACCATATTTTTGTCAACCATAATATAAAATATTGCAGACATTTGTAGTGACTAGCATTATTCCACTTTTTTTTTTTTATGATTATGTTTTGGCACTCACAGATAAACCTCATAGATTGCTTTAATGCAGAAAAAAGTCAGCAATACTTTCAGATACAACTTCTATATTTACATTCAACCAAAAGCACAACCTTCCCTTAACTTAAACCAAGCTGTAGACACCTTATGTTTGGTGTCAGAGACCAGAGCTTAGTACACCCACCATCCACCCCAACCACCTCCTGCTGCCATTGATACAGTGCATAAATGCAACTCTTCATTCTTAAAAAAAAAAAAGAGAGAGAAATTGCTTCTTAAAATAAACAATGCTCCTAAATTACAAAGGATATACTTCCTCAAATATAATGTTGATCAAAGCAAAACTAAGAGTCTTTCATTAGGGTATTTCAGGGGTTCTAGTTATGCTGATGACTACTTACGCTATGGTAATGCTAACATGCTAATTTTCAGCTGGCCATTAGGTTACTATAGCCACAGCTAGCCATCTTAGCTTAGCATGTGTTGTGTATAAATATACTATATCATGTGTGAAGTATAGTCCTTAAGGTTTAAAAATATAAAAGAAGTTACATATATGCAAATAGTCATGAAATGTCTTCTTTTGAAGAAGTTGCTTGGGTCTGTTTCTTTTATGGTTTCACAGGACAAGCAACAGACGGAGGAAAAGAAGTCCATATAAGGATGCAACCATTCAGTGTGATGAAGATGCGCCCCAATCAGTTGTTTTACGACCTGAACAGGCATCACGTGACTTAGCGGTAAAAGAAGGGTCAGAGGCAACAGGAGTAGTCTTGCTTTGTCTGATGCCAGGGAGAGTTTGACCCAGAGCTCTGTAATGCAATATTCAATGTGTAATTAAATTGATTGATTGAGACCAAATTGAATCCGATCTCATCTTACATGTTAACATGCTATCATTTGCTAATAAGCACTACATACAACGTGTATCCGATGTTGATGGAAGAGCCATTAGTTTTGCAGGTGTTACATCATAAACCATAAATAAAGTGCTGACCTGAACACCTGTATTGAATTTTTATGACCATCCATCCAATAATTGTTAAAATCTTTCACTCAAGATCACAAGCGTAAACTTCTTCCAGGCTGAAAGTAAAAGAATCACCACAGAAATCCTTAACAGATTGCGCAACACATTCATTAGTTTCTAAACGTTTCAGTTTTAGATAAAAGTGATTCACATAGTAACCGCCCAACCAGACAAAAGACATTGCTTCCACAAAGACACAACACGGTTAAACAGTTTGTTTTTTTTTTCCATCCAGATGCTTTCATGAGGTGATGAAAAAGCAGCATTTGACCACAGACATTTAGTCAGCAGAAGAACAACAATGGAAGAACACAAAATATGAATGCAAATGCATGTAAATCCGGCTGTGAGAGTGAACCGGTTGTTTTGTTGGTTTAGATTTTTGTGACTTTGAAGAAAAGCTCATGATTTAGAGAGAGAGAGAGAGAGAGAAAGAGAGACTGAGTGTGTCATGTTGATGGGGATGGTACTAACCAGGACACACTGCTATGTTGCAGAGTTTGGTCTGAACCTCGGGCCGTCCACAAGCCACGACCCCGCCTCCGTCCACACATTTCCTGGTTCGAGTCCTGGAGCCCCGCCCACAGGTCACAGAACACAGACTCCATGTCGACCACTCCTCCCACAGCCCATGCACTGCAGACGCCCACGAGCATGACGCACAAACGTACATGACATAGGGATGAGGAATGAGAGAGGAAGGTTGGGGGGGGTGGGGTGGGGAGGGGAGCATCCCATCGCAGGCAAGAGGGTTAGAGAATGAGAGAAAAGAGCGATTAAATGAGTATGAGCACATTCCTTTAAAAAAAATAAAATAAAAAAATGAAGGAGGTGACCTTTTGACCTCCAGAAAACATTCCAGTTGCAAAGGAAAAGACACACCGAGCATGAGGCTGCGCTTATGCGTTACCACACGAAAGAAAATGAAGGTTAGGAATGGACACTCCGGTATTTTATGTCATGCAGTTATATGCAGCTTGAATCAAGACAAGGAAATGAATGCGGTAAGTTCGGATCTGAAATTATAAGAGCGTTCGGTCACCCAAGCATTAAAAAGCTCCTCCTCGTTTTCCTTCTTTATTGCACATCTTGTCCCATTTCAGCAAGAGATGAAGTTAAAATGACTAAAAAATGCAATAAACGAGCGGCGGAGTCGGACGGAAACTTTGCAGATAATGAACCTGTGATGCTGCTTAACTGAGCGCTAGTTCCTGTAGAAATTTATCGACTAGATCCGTGTTTCCAGTATGTGGCATCGACAGACGCCATGTAGGAGAGAAGATACAGGTTCGCACAAAGTTATTTAGAGATGTCTGACCTCGAGGTAGAGGGAATAATGATGGAGAGACATATTTTAGAGGAAAAGGAATGCATAGGGTTGCAGAGAAAGAAAAGATGAATGACAAGATAAATGAATGAGATTAAAGGAGGGAATGAATAACAGGTAAATATAAAAAAAAAACAAAAATGTAAGCAATGGTAGATGAAAAGAATAACTGAAAGAACACACATAGTTTTGCCTCAAAAAGTTGGACAGACCATCAAATGAAAAAAAACAGTCGGCAAGAAGGGAATGAGGTTATTTTGCAATCTTCAGCTCGAGACCAGTGGAGATTAAACTATGTTGAAAAGACGTAGAAGAAAGAGCGGAGGAGCAGATTTGGAGAGAAGCTGGTAGAAAGAGAGAGCCAGAGATGGAAAGCTGGATATAGAGAGAGGAGGAGGGACAGAGGGAGAGAAAGTTAGAGACAGCAGGATGAAGATTGCTGGTCCTGTGTTGAGCAAAGCTAAATAAATCATGGCGATAAATAATTAAGTCTACTCTGTGAAGGAAGGCTCAGAGGAGCAAGAGTAGAAGGCTAAGAAAGAAGGGGAAGATGGTGGTATTAAAAAAGCACGGAGATATGGAAAGCTGGTAAATAGGGAGATGTCCTTAAATTCAGAAAAACATGGTACCAGTATGTCTTTAAACTGCTCTACAAAGAGAATATACTGTATGTTGCAAGAGCAGTGATACAGTATTTATCTTGCCCTTCTACACATTTAATGAAATACTTTGTGTAATAAGCTCATTTGTGGGCCTTGTTAGGTGCATATAGCTTCTATTGGATGTTTGAGCTTTAGTGTACAGAATGAAGCATGAGTTGACGTGAGGATGTTTTCCAATTTATCTGTTGAAAGAGGGAAGTTATCTGTGCCCACCTAAAACCTGAGTCTGAGGTATCTGCAAGCAAAATATTACAACTCGCTTTAACGCTAATCTTGGTCAAACAGGCAAATTACAAAAGTGAGATATGGAAATCTAAAGCCTGCATTGCTCATGCAATGTGAATAGTCTTTCAGTGATGTATGGGACATCTTAACATCAAATGGTTGAAGGTTAAAAATAAAAAAATTTTTAAAAAAAGTCTGCATAATAATGGATTTTCCCCCCATCAGGGTAGATAGGTAGATGTCAATTTAAGAATGTTTAATCAAGTAATTTAACTTTTCTTTTATGGAAAAATAGTATGAGACACCGATTAGAATTAAAAGAGTCTTTTGATATGTGTCTTTTAACATACTTGGATGGAATGTTTAAGTTATTGTAAGTCTCACATTGCCCAAGCATGTATATTTAAAGTTTCAGCTCAAAATACTGCACCGATTGATCACATGCTTATACATAACATGCCGATAGTATCCCTGGTTTTATCCTCATTCTAAACATGCTGCTTCAGTATCTGTAGCTTAAAACCCAACTTGGCCTACTGCTGCCATATAAAAGGTTGCAGGAACACCTTTCTCTCTGCATCTGCTCAGTGACAGAGAGAAGTCCAGTGGAGGAGGAGGAGCCAGCAGGGGGCGGTGCTTATCCTGTTGTGACATCACAGCAGGCTGCCAACCTTAATGGCTTATTCAAAGACACAAGTCTTTGGAGAAAGGGAGGAAACAGGAAGTTTTTTTTCTTTTTTTTTATATGTTATGGGTCCCTAGACACATTAGGGACATGTAGTTATCAAATATTATAATCAAAAAGAATGAAAAACAAAAAAGGTTTTACAAAATAGGGTCTGACAATTTGCTAATAGCTTGATGATATCTATTATGACCAACATATCTATGTGGAATAATAATGAATTTAGATTACATTGAAAGCAAAACATTTAAAGTCACAGATGTTACGGCAATAACATTGAACTACAAAAAAATGCTCTTAGTTTGGTTAGTCTATGCTGATCCTCCTGTTGATATATTGATTGCTTTTCAATGGACAGTGCTACAGATGTTCCAAGAAACAAATTTACATATTACTACATAAACTTATTACTATTTACTGTATAACAGGCACATGAAACTTTGATGATGCTGCTTCATTAGTTTGCAGCTATGCACAAGGAGTAAGATCTTCAGTGTACATCCAAAGGATTTATAAATAGTGGGTGCAACACTATCCTGAACTTCATGTATAATTCAAATTTTTTGAGTCATACTGTAGTTGATAACAACTTATCCCTGTTTTATTTCTTTTACTTTGAAGCCCACCATTGCAGAGTTAAAAGTGATTTTTTGAGCTTTACAATCGCAACTTAGCACAAAGCACAGAGAAAAGCTGTGGTTCAGGAAATCATCACTGATATGAAAAGTGGTGTTTTAATGCAGTCGTCAGTTTAAATATTTCGGTGTCAGGCTTGAAACAAAACTTACTTCCAAAATAATTTAACAGAATACATCATAATACAAATGAGACAATGAATAGATAACTTTGATGGATCTCCTTCTGAACTGCAAAACCTCTTCAGGACCGTTGCAAACCGGAGAACTCGATACAACAACGAGCAGAGAAAAGCCAAAACAGAAGAATATACATCTTTTTGCTACGACACTACAGGATTGCTTGTAAGACATTACTTATTCATCCAAATTGAATCTCCATCTCTCAAGCTGAGTACAAGTGTATCTGAAGTCTGACTGTGCAAAGCCAATCAATTAGCCTATAAAATCAAGCTTGAAGCAGCTCAGGGACGAAGAAAGAAAGAAAATATCATCTGGGAATGAGGACAGCAATCAAAGATACGACAAACAAATGTATCAGGAGAACGGCTCCTGACCACCGCCTGACCAGGTAAACATCGGCCATCAAGACATACTTTCAATCATGACCAAAACAACAACAGCTGCATCAAAATTCTTTTTTTTGACACCAATAACTACATTAACATAATAAAGCACTTTTTTTTTTAGTTCAACATTAAAAGGGGGTTTATCGCCATCAGGGTTGCAGTCACAGTGGGAGGTGGAATAGAGCATGTTTACAGCAGCAAAGCACAGAAAATAAACGCATTAAATGAACTGATCAGCGCTGATCAAACAGCCACCGTGACAGATCTGTGCCTCGTAACATTGGGTCACAAAATCAAGTTCGCGAACTCCACATTTTCCACTTTTTGTGAAGAATTTGGAGAAGAGGAAGCGCACTGACTCGCTTGCACCGGCCTGCGTTTCTGATGCAAATGCAAGAAAGCTCAGTAAAGAGAGAGTGAGAGAGAGAGAGAGACTCCACGCTCACCCCTTTTTCATTTAAAAATATGCACACACACGCACTTTGCAGAGCACACATTCACAGCGCCGACCAGGACGAGCTTTTGTGTAATGAGGACTCATGTCGTCTAAATACGTCTTTAAAATCTATGCAGTGCAGTTATGCGGCTATGAAATATACTCGCCCATAATGGTGTGCGCTGTAACACGAGAGCAACTTTTTTTTTTTTTTAATTTCTCACTTCTACCTTTGAGATGCATTGGCTATAATTGGACACATGCATCACATTGATCCCTGAGGATAATTACAAGCAATTTCAGCTCGGGTCATAGGACGGTACGGCTACATTATTTTAAAAAAGCGCTGCATGCATGTGCATGTGTGTAATGTCGTGTGCCATCTGCATGACTCTGCCATGAGTTCATGACTGCATCCATGGATACACCCTCAGCGTCTTGCTTGAATGATCACCGGGAGCGTGTTGTCGCTGCACTTGACAACGCACTGACCCAGACGCACTGTATTCATAATGCACTATTGTTTCACTCCGTGTTTTAAATGTCACTGAATCTATGGTAAATGAGCAGTGGCTAAATAGAACACGAATAGGGGGGTACTACTTCACTTTGCATGCTTTGGGGCAAAAGAGCTTTATACTTGGTCGCATACTGGACAAAAAAAATAAAAAAATTAATTCGCTGGACCAATTACTGCCTAGTTTGCTTTGTCAAGAGCCAGACCATTACTTAAAATTGATTATCTGTATCACCTTAATTTAGGAGTTTTACCCATGAAAAACGCAGAGGGGAAAAAAAATGTCTATTTTCACTCCATTGGCTTTCTGTCCAAGCTACTTTTCTTTGATGTTCCCTAACTTGTGCAGACACACACACACACACACACATACACAGAGGCATGCACAGAGATGTGCCCAGAGACATATCCACCCACACTCCCACTCATAACACATCCATACTTCTAAGTCGTAACTTGCGCACAAACACAAATTAATGGTAGGAAAGAAAGAAAAGAAAATTCTGGCAGTTCCATCCACCAAATTAAGCATGCAGGCTGCACTCTCCCCACCTCAGGACACTCGAGTAGAAACGGGAAGTGTGTGTGTGTTCACTTATGCCTGTGTGCTTTGCATGTTTGCAGTTGCGAGTAAATGCATATGAAAAAGAATAGTGGATGTTGCGAGAAAAAAAAAAAAAACATTTCACATGCAGGTCTTATACAAAGAAATCAAAGACTTTGGCACGGTGTTTTTTCTGAACAGCAGGGTTGAAAGGCACAACTGTGGTAGTCTCAAGCTGTGCCTGTGTTTGTATACTCAATTTTCCCCTAAAAAATGGAACTAGAGTTGTTTAATTTTCAAACATTTCTTTTTTTTTGAGTGAGCATGTTGGCAAGCTTATTGGCACTGTGAGTGTTTCATATGCAAGCGTATAGTGTTTTTAAAAAAAAAGAAGTTGTGATGTCAACTGAATTTTACTGCAGCCCTAATTAGTGTGTGTGCTTGCGTCTGCCTCTCTGCACTGCACTATATATTTGTTTATGACTTCCCATCAGACCAAAGAAAGACAGGGTTGGAATCCAGCAATAAAGAGATTAACAAATCAAACAAGCATGTAGATTCTAACCCCCCCCCCAAAAAAAAAATGAAATAAAATGAAATTACTTTAAAAAAAAAAAACTCAGTCACATCAAGTTCATTCAAGACTTTTATGTCTCTTTGCTACCACCCCCACATTCCCAGTCTACTTAAATTAGATGTGATCCCATTCAGGCAATCCCTGGAGTGCCCCTATAAACCCCTCCAGAACCACGTCAGAAAACATCAGAGGAGCAGGGGGGGGAAATGAAAAAATAAACGGAACATAACACAGCAACCAATATCCCATCAAAGGAGCTGCTGAGGATATTAATATCGACGCTGAATGGAAAATGAGGCACTTAGACATACAAATCGGGCTGGCACATTTGCATAAAAACAAGATTAGCATATGCACTGACAGGGAAGGAAAATGTTCCTCTCACTTTCCTTGTTTATTTTTTTTTTCAGTTCTATAGAAGGCAGGGGCTGCATCAGTAAACACCGACTCCTATCCCACATGTGAAAGTATGGACATGTATATGAATATGCTTCATGCAAACTCCTGAAGCTCTCGCAAAGATGTGCTTAAAGGGCTGCACTTGAAGTAACACTTGGTGGCATGAACGATGTCAAAGCAACACCTTATAGTGTGATACGCAAACACACTGACAACACACACACGGCACTGAAGAGTATATACAATCACATACAATATGCTGCACACGGACAAATGAATAGACACAGACGCTAGTTTTAATGTATAAGCACATATGGCTGTATCATTAAAGCGCTGTAAATGTCATCGAGAACTCTGCGTTCTTTCAAACGCCCACAAAACAAATACAAATGTTCCCCATTAAAACCCTTTTTTTTAAACAACGAAAGTCTCTACAGTACACTTTCGTAGCCACGTGTTCCTTACATTTGTATATGTACGAATATCAGCAAACTCTATTCAACCCGCGTAAGCTTCCTCGTCCGTTACCTATTCAGCTACTGGTGGAAGGGCGCCGTTGAATAATAGAGCTCCACACCCCACGCTGTGACCCTGACATTAAGACCTTAACCGCCCAACTCCTGCTTTGAATTATGTTTATTCAGAAAAGTTACGGGCCTTGACTTCTCATTCGACAGTGTCCTCAAACACTTCCTTTCATCATTCACTGAGATTATTAAGAATACTCAGTATGGAGGATAGTAGCGCCATATTCCTGAGATTCAATCTCTCACCTATCAGTGAGTTCAAAGAGGTTAACCTGGAACTTCTCCTGTCGGCCTGAATAGAAGACCACATTATCTCTATAGACGGACCACATCGACATGGACGCCATTAGTGACCATTCCCATCATCATAATTTGGTGTGGAAAGGCAGTGGAGTCGACAGCTTTATATTACATCTGCCTTAATTCTCCAGATCTTTTGATTCTACTCGGGAGTGAGCAGGATTGATATTCTATAGTTCCTTTCGCTTCAGCGGAATACCAATTACCAATAGCCTACTTTATAAAACAGCTGTCACTCAGCTGACTAGGAGGTGCTGCCTGATAAAAATTTTGACAGTAGCGCACCAAGTTCATACGACCATTTGACAGGGAAGCTGGACGATGCCTCGGCCTTCTACCCTGTGCTGAAGACCGAAATGCCAAAGTTTTGCTCTTAGGAAGCTCTGATCAAAATGCGTTCATGGACTCTCGAACTTCCTCGAGTGTGGGTGGGAATAAAACGGAAAAATTTGGTCATAATGCCTTAGCCAAGTTCATAGCTTTAAGACCGCAGATATGGGCTGGAGGTCGGCTGCATTGGGAAATGGTTGGCAGACGTCCACGACAACAACAGAGGATGCAGTTCCAACAAGAAGAGAGTTTTTTGTCGTCCACTGGTTGGGGAGCTGATCATGAGCAAGGACAGTCGGGAGAGAGGCAACGTGAGACAGTATTTTACCTCCATTGCAATCAGGCCAATAAAACCAGCGGAGGACAGGCAGTACTTTGGAATTTCATCTAGCAATCAAAGCAGAGCGAACATTATTCACGGTGAACTATAGTTGCCTCAGTGACCAGATCTGGCTTGATTGTGTCGTGTTGCCGGGGAAAAAACAAGGTGCGCTTCTTTTTTTGTTGTTGTTGTTGTTGTAGCAAGCGGATAGGGTTGACTGCACTTAGCCTGATTGACAGCATGTACGCACATGAAAATTTAATTCAACTGGTTAAATATGTTTTGGAGCTGTCACCGCAGCTAAAACGAGACAAATTCAACTGAAGTCAAAGCAAAAAAATATATATGCATATATCTGCAGTTGTTATTTTGAATGCTTTTTGTGCTTATCACTGTTATGTGATCAGTGATTCACTGTGTAGTCACAGTTCCCATCCAGGCGGTTATCACAGCTCTCATTGTAAAGTAAGATACCATCACAGGTTTGCGCGCTAATTATTCCTGTATAGATACATTTCCGATCCGTGCTATTTCTTGTAAACAGTGATATATAGACAAGAAAAGGCAAATGAGAACAACGATGAGCGCAGAGGCAAAGAGCAGAGGGGAGCTAAAGATAGAGAGGGCAGGATGTATGAACTTCAGAGCTGTGGCAGGTCTAATAGACTTGCTGACATTGAGCTGAGGTGTCAGTCCGCCTCGTACTCTCTCTTTCTCTCAGCAGTCCAGTAGTGTGAACCGAAATGACAAAAAGCCATTCCCTTTCTTCTTTTTTTTCTCCCTGCTACATCATGGTTAGATTATATTTCAGCTGAGCAGATCCCATGTGATGTGTGTGTGGCTCTGCGTGTGCGCACATTCGCATGCCGCCTACCTTCCTCGAAAGTGACAGAGATTCACACTGTCATTATTTTCTTCAGCTTTCTTAACACTTTTGCAAAAAAAAAGACAAGTAAACGCTTCATGGGTGAGTGAGGTGCTAAGCAGGAAGATTGTGGATTTGAGAAATTTCACATTTTCAAAGCGAAACATAACAAATTCAGGGAGTGAATCCCAGGAAGCACGACAAGAGCGGAACCACGTAGAGGTCGCAAGGTCATACCGTGATCTCGGTCTGTCTGCTACGTTAACTTCGGCATCAAGAAAACTGCTGCGAGAAATCACCAGTGAGCATCACCGAGTCAGGTCAGCGGCAGTCGGTTTCTCAACATACCTGAGCCTGTGATTCCGGGTTCACCTGGACAGGAGGCGGTGTTGTTGCACATGCGCGTTTCCCGCAGGGCGCCGCTGCACAGCGTCCCGTAGGGAGAAGAAACGCATGACCTGGTCCTCACTTGCCAGCCCTGCCCACACGTGAGAGAACACACACTCCACTGTGACCACTCCTCTGCTGCAGGGTCACCTGAGGAGCAAGAGGGAGACGGACAGAAAGAGGGCAAGTTTTTTACATTTTCAAGGCTTCCAGCTTTAATATCTTATTGTTTCCACAGGAAGCCGGGCTTGTGTGGACCTGGATCTTATAGCTTGCTGGCTCATGCTTTGTAGCAATATGTGAAAGTGCGTCATAAATTATAAAGATAAAAAAAAAGTTGTGCAAAAGTCACAGCGAGGGGAGCAGACGGGAAACTGCTGCCGGAGATGTACGACGGTTTTCAGGAACATTTTCATCTCCGAAACCAAAAAACATGTTTTCTTTAGTGGTTAGCAATTGTGATTTTTTTTCTTTGCTCCTTTCTTTGCTGTAATAAAATGAAAATTTTCTTTCGGATGGTCGTGACAGCGTTGCAATATTACTACAATAAAAAATACAAATAAACAAAACCATAAACTATACAAGTGTCGAGAGAAAAGCCTGGGACTATCTGACAGATGATGAAAAGACTTTGCAGTTGCAATAACCAAACAGTGTAGTTTTTCTTTCTCCCCTTGGATTAAAGATACTTAGATAAGTTAAGTTCATAAGTTCATCGTTCTCTGGATATAATACAACTTTGCTTGTGTGTTTGTTTTTTTAGTAGTAGTTCAAAATGCATCACTGTCGCATTGTGTCCACACATGTATCGTGAGAGATTCCTGCATAGCGTCGAAATACGGGCGATGAGGTCATTAATGCATTTAAGCCTCTTAATGTAAATAAATCTTGACGGAATATTCAAGAGGATGATAATTATGTAAGAGGACTGTGTGATGTTCAGGTGATATTCAAAACATTAATGGAATTATGGTAACACATTTAATCTCATTGCTGAGGGGGTTTAAAGCACAAAAGCCTTATTTAAGTCTGCGTCGATGTGCAGATCGGCTGTTCAGCCGGTGCTGACGTGGAGCTCTGCAGGCGGCTGTGGAGAGCGTCCACCATTGTTCCCGCAAAGTTACAACCCTTAGACGCAAGGAAAAGAAAAAAACCCAAAAAACGCGAGTCAAGTCATCCCCACGTCTCTCTTTCTAAATTGTTTATGAGCACCGTGTCCTTTGATGGAGGCGTCATCACATGGCAAAGAAGGAAATCAAATTAATTGCATGTCCGTTAATCGCATTACATCTTCATTAACATGCCGTGAGTCAGGGCTTAAGCTCATCACACATGCCTGGAGGAACGGGAGAACGTGGGGGGAGAGGCGATGGAGGGGCGAGGGAGAGGAGGGGAGGGACAGAGGAGAAGGACAAAACAGAGCCAGGGGTTTCCCTCGCGGTAGGGACTCCCTCCTCCACACAGTGGCGGCTGTGAATATGCGAGCATGGGTGCATGTGCGTAAGCTCAAATTAGAATATGACCTATTCTGGTGTGGGCGAAACAAGCAACATGTAATGTCATGGATGTAGATTCCAGCTCAAATATACATGTGAGATTCCTAATATGTTTAATGTATCATGTCATGAATAATTCACTCATTCTTATTCAACCCTATTAATTATGTAAGATCCTAAAGTCTCGCACACTCACTATTTCACACTTTCATATATTCACACAAGTGAGTCACCACCGATGGCAGCTGCCCTGCCTCTCTCCTTCTCCTTCTTCTTCTTCCTCTTCATATGTATAATAATCACGTATGACCAACTCACTATTTTCAGTTACACATACAGCTTAAAGGTCAGGTTGTCTTCTTTTTTCCTCCCGGCTGTGAACACTACCACACACTCATACTACTCACCTGTTTGTGCCTGAAACACACCTGGCTGGTCAGCTGATCGTGGTCTTTGGGTCTTCACCTTGAGATCGTCGTCGTACGGGTCTGAAACATGAAAAAAACGTTTTCTTTCGTTAATTTCAACTTTTTTTGTGTGATGCAACTTGCAAGGCGTGATTAAGCAGTTAAGTCGTCTCCCGGTTTGTTTACTACATCTAATTGTGTCGTAGCACACAGAAAGTTGCTTCAAAAGCTACAGTAAATAAGTGCTCATCAGCATCCATATCCACTTTTTTTTTTAATATTTCGAGAAGTCATAAAAAGGCAAGTTTAAGCGCAGCCAAAACACGACTTTGGCAAAATAAATATGCAAACGCCTACATTTCCTTGGCTTGCTCCTGGTAGCTGAATATTTAAAGAACACGCTGATACATTTCAGCACACATCGTGCAGAAACGGATAACGGAATGCCAGGTCTGCTGTATAATCTCTGAAAATCAGAAGGAAGTCGATTCTGACTGGCTCATTAGCTCGGTGGGAAAACATGAAATGTCATGAAATCTAATATTGAATTGCAACGCGGTAATATTCACGATTCAGCAGAGCAAAAATAAGCAATAAAAAAAATAAAATTAAAAAAAAAGTTTTGGCTTGATTATTAAACTGTACAAATATATATTAAAAATACATGCTGCTACTCTGCTAGCCTGGCTCTGATATATCAGAGAGATGATTTTAAAAAAAAACCTCACAGAAGTGCCAAGCATTTGTGGAAATACCTAGAGAGGAGAGAGGAGGAAAAAAAAAAAAGTATGGAGAAAGTGAAATCATGCAACATATCTAAGTCGGTTTTATCTCAGTTGGTACAAACATATGGAGGCATGAGCGCAGACTGTTCTGTTCGCTGTAAATGGATTTGTAGGCTTAGTTTCACCAACATAAGACTTAATCAACTCCCACGGCGGAGGAAACAATCTTTGATTTAGCAGATCTTTTTCACTTGGGTACTTCTTGCCCACGGGATTTTTTTTTTTGCGGCGGTTGCGTTTATGAAAAGAAGCGGCAGACATGCAGCGTGTCTAAGGTACATTATCACACATGGAATGCGATTGTGTGTCTGCGTATTAGATTACAGAGGGAATAAGTGATTGGCGCTGAAATTTCCTCGCATTAGCCTCCATCAAGGAGTTGACCGAAGGATGAACGCACGCAGACAGTATTCTCCTTCCCAGTTCACACACATGAATGCCTGGGAAGCGTGCTGAGACTGTCATGACAACTCCAAAGCCTTTTGCAACCAGCCCTCTAATTTGGCCTTTTACAGAATCAACTCTGTCAGGGAAAAAAAAAAAAAAAGACTTGTTTTTTTTTTATTCTCTAGCTCCCTTTCTTTGTATTCTAACTCTCTCTCTCCCATTTCCTTGTTCTACACATTGTTCTCAGCAGGACCACTTGCGCTTAAAGGCCAAAGTACAACATTTTTACCACAGGAACCATGTAATAACTTTGTTTGTGTGCACTCTGGATGGTGTCTACGGAGCCCTGGGTAAACACGACTACTAACTGTGTGTTGGTTTTGAAGCGACTTGAAATTAGCAAATGGTGCAACAAGGGATCTGAAGGAATTAGAAGACAGTGAGCACATTTTAATGTTGCCTAATTGCCTTTGTAAAAAAAAAAAAAAAAAAAAAAAAAAGGAATATTGTTGCATCGGGTGTGACAATCCAGCATTAAACTACCACCCTGGGACTTTAAAACAAGTTTTCATTACACAACTGTTCTCAGGTCAGCTCACAGTACAAACACCCACTTGGTTAGTTTCACTGTTACATTTCACACCAAACGCATTAACCTTATACTCGCATATAGTCGCCTTACAATACCACTATCCCTAACTGGATTGAACATTCNGAGAAAGGTCTGGGTATGCCTCTGTAGCTGAGTAGCAGCATCCAGTCCTATTCATGTTGATGTGCCATACAGCCATTACAAATGAACACTTCTCACTGCTATTTTGCAAAAGCTGCCCCAACCTCTTCTGTATGTGCTAAGTTTTTGATTTCATTGATTTATGTAAATAGATTAAGATTTGGTGTTAATATTAACATTTATTACAGGGAGATAAACTCAACTTCTTACTCATTGTTGCTCATGTTTGTGGGATTATATCTACTCCTTCACAGAGCATATATTGTACATACCTTAGAGAACACCTAAAAGGTGTTATGGGTAGGTGGTGGTTAGAGGAACTGCATGCAAGTTCTGTATGAGGTTAGTTCAAAAGAAAAAGTTAAAGAAGATCCTAATTTACCTAAAACCACAATCTTTGCTTCATGTTAACAAAGTTCTGTGAGTGCCTAAATGTAAATATAACACGTTTATCATGCTTTAGTTGTTACAAGTCAAGATTGTATCGCAAGATTAAATATTGTAGTGAAAAAAAAACAGTCATTGAACTTTTAACACAGAACAGAATATATAATCCTAACAGCAATTCCCTTCTTTTTCCATCCATCCATTATCTATANGTGCTTTCAAACAAGCAAAAACAGCACACACAGTATTTAACTTGCTTTTTGTAGTTTAACAATGATTTCAGTCAGGCTTATTAACATCAAGTTTGCCACCATCGAAATGCCTGCAAGCCTTCACATGAACGTAAGAGAAAAGAGCTAAATCATAAGCTCAGCTGACAGCGCAGCCTACAATCTATGTCACATACCATCTCCCCCTCTCTGCCTTCATCTTTTCTTTTTTCTCTCCCTCTCGCACACGTCTGTCAGAAACGTCATCTGAAGACATCGACCAAAGGCAACTTGGCACTTGAAGCTTTTTTTTTTTTTTTTAACCCCCCCACACAACAGTGACATGTATGTACACGATGCAGCCGCACGAAATAGATTGATTACCGCTCGCATTTGCCTCTGCAGTGGGATGCTGTTGCCATAGCAACACCGTCATGCTGATGCCGTAAAGGAACGGAGGGGACGCGTGGTGGTGGGTGGTGGGGGGGAGACAGAGGGAGGGAGGGAGAGAGGTGGATTATAAATCAGTGTCCCCACTCAGTTGCCGATCCTGCGCCTGAGAGAAGGTGGCTGGATTTAGCAGACGGTTATTTGCAACTGCAACGAAGGGCAACTGCTGTGCTGTTGCTATGACTCCTTTTTTTTTTTTTTTGCTTTATTCCTACATTTTTTTCTTTTCTAATTTCACCTTTATTTATCTGTACCTCTATTACTTTGTTTATTTTTATGCCTTTCAATTTCAGATTTTCTGTAACACCAATTTTTATTCACTGCAGATTTTCTGGATACAGCAACAAAAACAACAGCAGTTCTTTTAGCATGTATTACCACAAGTGTTTGTGTCTACACTATCTGCATTCCATGTATCAGAATAACTGTTAATATTGGTCTTGTCTGTTCATTCATGCGTGGCATTGATTCCTCTCTCTCGTAATCAACGATGAAAGCAGTCTGTGTATCCTGCTAATAAGAAAACCGTGTGCAATCTGTGACCGCGGGGAAATATTAGCCACATCGGCATGCTCCCTGAAATGCATTCAAGCAAGCGTTCATTCATAAACACACACACACACACACAAACATACCCGCAAACTACATTTGCATGGGTGCTTAACTCAGGGGCCAAAGCAACCCAGAGCACACTCTGGCAGGTGTTTTTCATGAATCACAACGGAGTACCACGAGAAGAGTCTCAAATAGCCAGACTTTGGTTCTCCACTTGCTAGAAGGGGCAGAAAAAAATGATACTCAGAAGCTGACTCTTGGCCTCAACTTCTCTCCTGAGTATACAAACACTCACAACACCACTTACTTCTACTCTGTCAACTACCTTTCATCAGCGGGAAGGGTCAGCGCAGCGGGACAGGGGGGGCAATCTTTGGGGCCTCTCACGCTCGGCGCACACGGACGTGCGCCCCCCACGTGCACGCGCACATAAACACACTCGCAGTCATTCACGGACATGCTTAGTTCGGCTTGGCAGCGGCGAGATATTGCTCCGGTCCACAGCAAGTCGGAGACCAGAATCATTCCCACCTCCTGTTGTTGTATTTTTTTCCTCTCTCTCTCGCTCTCTTTTGACATAGACGGATCAACCCATGTGAGAAAAAATGATAAGAGAGCAGAAAATAGAGGTGAAACCCGAAAGAAAAAAAGAATAAAACAGAGCAGCTTAACGAGTCGGTGACACAGCCAGGCGCTGATAACCCTCCCGTTGATTCATCACAATGAGATTGTGTCCTAGATTTCTACACGGTTACTATCCTCTTTTTTTTTCAGGTGGGAAGAGGGAGATTGAGTTGTGAGTTAAAAACTGGAAAATATAGTATTTATGTAACTGTATGACGGATGTTTTCCTCAATGAAAGTTCTACATGGGTGTTTCGTTCTGTACTGTGTGTACTTCTTTGCAGCTATTAAGCCAAAGTACAGACCGGCGCCGCTAATGCATTATTTGTTCTGCTGTATTCGTGTTGATATCTGGTTTATTTTGGACCATTCATTTACAGCTCTTTTGTTCAGACAGATTTTCTACTATTCTTAAGATATAACAGCTTTTCACTCGAGCACCACCAGCTTACGCAACATAACTACTACCGTGTGTTATTTCTCTTAATGTTTGTAATTTTCTAGGGGAGGCCACGCATTTAGAACAATATGTTCTACAAACCGATACGCCCCAACGCGCTCTGTGCACCCACTCACACAAACAGCCACAACCATGACTTCATGCTCGTGTAAAAAGGCAAACGCTCACTCATGTTCACTTCCGCCCACACGTTGCTTCTACTCCTGACTGTGGAGAGTGACCTCAGTGGCTTGTGCTCAGAAATCAGATAAGGCTGGAACATGGAGACTGAAGTGACCAACAGTTCAGCTCCTCAGACGAGCAGTAAGAATCCACAGAGCTGAGGCAAATATCCGTCAGTTGCTCAACTCTTACAGTTTCTGAGGGAAAGTCAGAATGGAAAAAAAAACTGCATGATGTCCTTCAGCAAAAGTGCGGCTTTAGCCGAGGTGCAGCGCCGAGATTGTCCTCGCGTTAGCTGTTAAGCATCAGCTGCTTCATTCACGCTTCATC